CATCTCAAAAATGTCAAATTTCCTTTGTGTAATCCCTAAAACCTCCTAAATGCATTTCAAATGTGTTTTTTTTCACTAAATCCCTATAGTTTTTGTGTTACTTGCTTTACCCTATCTGAAAACGGGATCGGTCAAATCGACCGACCTCGTAAACCAAAAAAAAAAATCGAAATAAACCTAAATTAACCTTCTTTTCTTCCTAGAATGACTTCAAATTGTAACCTAAACTCCATTCGTTTGTCCAAAGTAGCTCTTAGTTCGTATCATTATACATCTATTTATAATTAAATGTTATTGTTTTATTTCCCCTTTTTATTGCCCTTTGAACCATGTATAACTGCTATCCCCACCATTATAAGTTGTAAATCACTCTGGAGAAATGCAGCTCACGTTACGCTATTGAATTACATTACCCACGAGCTGCTCGAGTGCATGCCTCGTGAACCTTTTTAATTATATTATTATTTTTATTACCGTATTTGATGGCATATAGGACCCATGGGTATGTAAGACGCACCCCCATTTCAGCAGGTCAGATTCAGGAAAAAAAGTTTTTAGTGTATTTAAGCATATATTGGTGAAAGTAATCTAACAGCATGTTACACAAGCAGAAAACACTTGAACATAAACTAAAACGCAGTAAGAAAATAGGGATACACTTTAATTCATCTTCAAAACCAGAAAAATCTTCATCTTCGTCACTACTGCTGGAATCACTGACTTCAAATAACACATTATCTTCTGTGCTATCAAGAGCATTGCTAATGCCACACTTCTTAAAAGACTTCACAATGATTTTAGGCCTAACGTGATCCCAAGATTTCTTATTTCGTAGTTGGAATGCTGTAATGATCGTATGCTAGGATAGTGAGCGTTAGGAAGAAGATTAGCCTGCGGAAGGTCTCAACTTCGCATATTAGACGCAGGGCGATTTTTTGAGCCAAAATTTTGGGAAATAAGTGCGTCCTATATGCCGTCAAATACGGTAATTTGTTTTTATTAACTAGATATTTATCAAGGTTGAAATATCCTCGTTGAAATACATAATTACTCCAAAATATCTAATAGTCAAGTAAAATTAAAATTGTAGAAGGATCCCGGTGGCTAAGCGGTAAATATGAGGGTTTTTCACACTTAAAATCAAGCTTCGATACCCACAATGGGAACAATATGTAGCCCATTGTGTAGCTTTGTGCTTAACAACAAACAAAACAGAAACTTTGTATGCATAATAACAACAAGTTATTTTGTTATCTGTTTATATTTGACTTCTGACGACGTGCAGATTGTTCACATCTTCTTAGCTATCGCACCATATTCCTCTTTAAATGTAAATAATAAATCAGCTATAGTTTTGCGATACACTGCTGCCATCTACAGCTAGAAATTATTAAGAAAAATTGTAAAGCCAAATTTTAAAATAACTATATTTTAATTGATATTTTCACACACAAGATTACAAGTCTGATTTTGTATTTTCTAGAACTTCATTTCGTTTACTATATATTTTTAAATAAAATATATGCATAGTTGAAAGGTATAGATTTATTCAAACTCATAACCTTTGATACAGGACCACAAGGTCATGACCAAACTGTTATCCTTTATCTGTAAATATGAACATTTTAAGAATGTTTCGATTTAATTAATATACAAATGATCGAAAAGGATCCTAATCACCAAAAATATTAAATTGAAAAATAGATGAATTAGAATGAGTAAATCATAAACAACGATCATAGTTAGTACAGTAACTGGAAAGTTTAATACGCCTCCCCCCTATCCCTACAGATTTGTTCAATACTCTGTTAATTTTCGTTTTCAAAAATCACTGACTATCTGATGTTTCAGGTAATTAGTTGCATTTTATAAATGCCCAGCTGCACCAATAGTTTGGTTACTCTGCAATATCATGTGTAAGAGCAAGGACCTCTTCGACTTTCATAGGTGGATGTTAGTGGTGCCTGTCTAGTAGGACTGTTCTTGAAACAGACTATTTCTTTGGGTGGCTGTTAAAACATAACAGTATCTAGAGTTTATGAACAGAGGTAATCAAAAGGATAGTTTTGTCACACACAAAAAGAAAGAAAAGTGATGACTGACCGAGGAAAAAGACCTTGCATTAAGCAGCGGGATGTGTCTTAGTTTGTTTTTTACTTCAGCTGATCAGTCAAGAGTCAACTACCCCCAGTCATGAATGGCTTTGCACCCTTTAATTCATTAACTTCATTTGTTAATAAGAGAGCACAGTTTCAGTGGTACTTAGAGCGCAAGCTTAGGATAAGGAACGATTGAATGCGTGTAATGTGGCCTGATGTGTTGTTCTTTTACACTGTTCTGTTTGGATATAGACTAGGAATAAATAAAAAGAAAAATACACGAGGCATTTGACAGTTAAAGCCACTAGAGGTGTGAGGAAAATTCTCGAAAAATGTTTGGTTTGTTTGATTCCCTTGTTAAATTACAAACTCAACTCGAACACTGCAAACATTTTGAAATATGAAGGCAGTAAATTTTCGGGTTAAATATTTACGCTCATTCGGTTCACCCACCAGTGTCACTTACAATTTCCAACTCTGTGGACTTACAACGCTAGAAACCAGGTTTCGATACCCGTGGTAGGCAGAGAACAGTTATCCCTATGTGTAGCTTTGTGCTTAACTACAAACAAATAATCATTCGGTTCTTATTAGAAACAGGGTTATTTCTCAGGTGTTGCTTTATTCTCATAGTTCATAAAAATATTCTGATTATAATATGAATATAATATTTAAATGTGGTCTTAAGCTTGCAATGTTAAACTGATCGATTTATGGACACAATAAACTGAAACATAAATCTTAGTAAGTATTAAACAAAATACTTGTTATTTGGATAAAATTCTTATCTTTCTTTATAGAATGTCTCAAGTACTAAACTAGTATTTTTATGCCACATCAGAAGGTGTTTCTGGTATAACTTGCATATTACACTCCTCTTAGATGTAAGTTTCAAATTACTGAAGTTTCATTATTTAGTTGTGGTTCGTCAAGTTCAAAATATTACAGTATTTCTATACTAATTATACTATACATGACGAAAAAATCGGGTGTTCGAGAGAGTTACTTGTGATTTTTTTTCTTTTGTTTTCTTGCTAGTATTTCTTTTAAAACTTCTCTGATCACTACTTGTAATAAAAATACTGAATATCAAAAATAATTATTTGGAATGATCACTACCAAAAGTCCATTTGGCAAATATAGGACACATTTTGTAATAATCGTATTTAAAAATAAAATTAAAAATGTATATATTTTGTTTGTGTGTCGTTAAACTCAAAGCTGCACAATGAGGTATCTGAGCTTTGCTACTGCGGATATCGAAACTCAAAGTTTTAGCGTTATATGCTCTCAAACTTAACTCTGAGCTACCATATGCAGATCCCATATCCGGATATTACCAGATCCCATATCCGGATGAGCTGATGTTACCAGATCCCAAATTCGGATGTTATCAGATCCCATATCCAGATGAGCGGGTGTTACCAGATCCCATATCCAGATGAGCCAATGTTACCAGATCCCATATCTGGATGAGCCGATCTTACCAGATCCTATATCCGGATGTTACCAGATCTCATATCCGGATGTTACCAGATCCCACATCCAGATGAGCCGATCTTACTAGATCCCATATCCGGATGAGCCGATGTTATTAAATGCCGCCAAGAAGCCCAAAAATGTACATTATTTAAATTGCGGTTGTGCTTTACACGAAACTGTGAATAAAAATAATATTATTAGCAAAGTGTTGGTCGTTGATTTTCTGGTTTCAAACTTAAAGGGATACAAAGGAGCATAGAAACAAACACTCCTTGCTGACATGAAATTGTCTTTTGTCAAACTTTTATATTTTAAACTTTGCCTCATGTTTTCCAATGTAGTCGCCGGACAGTCTTCATACCGATTCCAAATAAACGTTCAAATTTCTAAGCGTTAAACATGGAAATCATACATATAAATATTTTAGGTTTAACTACACAGCTACTATGTAT